TGAGGGCACGTATGTCCTCCGGATTACCCTTTTCTGCTTCTGTGAACTTCCTCTTCCCTTCTACTTAGTCCTTTTTCCACAGAGTTTGTGCAACTTAAATCACACGTTACACACTCCTGTCCTATGCTTCCAGAGCATTTGAACAGAAATGCCACTTGAAAGAACTCCCTACATGCTACTAGGCAAAACAGTAGTGATGGTTATCCCAGTCAAGCATGGTTTTATATTCCTACCACATTGTGCTTGTAGTCCCTCTCCATAGCTTCCAGTCAGCAAAGGAGGATCCTTTATTGGCTACTAAAATCCTCGTTTTATGACTATACTGATCCATGTCCACGAACAGGTGAATTTTCAATGTACACAACCACAGACAAAATGCCTTCCACTATGTATTAAACCTCTTACCTGTCACATATTGCCGAAACAAGAGTATTAGTAATGCTGACAAGTAAAGCTAGGTCACTCTCATAGTATACGTTCATTACTCACTGCTTTTATTTAATGAGTTTTTAGATTAAAAAATTTCCACATGGATGCTCAGAAAGGAGACATATTCTTATTCAGTACATTGCAAATTAATTCATAGGGCAGCACAGTTTAATGCTGTTCCCAAGCGTTCCCAGAAGTCCTAGTGCTTCACATGAGCTAATGCAGCAATACTAACGTGCACAGTCATAAAAGAGTAATGAGCTTGCAGAATTAACTGAAGCTAATTCAGCACTGAAGTAATATTACTAAAGGAGGAAAGCTCAGTGTGTGGTGGCAAAAAAACCCCATTTCCTCCAAGAAGGAGCAGACTGGCCACAATAATAATAATCGGGACTGCCATTATGCCAAGTTAGGATCCCCAGTAGTCAAACATATTTACTGTGAAATTTATTAATCCATTAAAGGAAACTGTGAGCACTCAGCACTTCTTAGTCCATTATGAATTGCATACTGTACTTTACTGGGGGGGAAAAAAATCATTTAGAAGGTAAAATTATGATGGTAATTAATAAAATCAAGGAAGCCCTCAAGAAGGTTCGTCTCCAGTATACCACTTACATGTTACATCTTTGTTATTGCTACATGAATTGTTACAATTGTGTGAGTATTTTTTACATTGAAGAGGTTGAATCTCTTGAAGTGCCATTTGTTGTGATTTTTATGTTCTTCTCTTTAGTTCTTCATCTAGATAGGTACATTTGAAAAACCATAAAGAAATCTGAGCAGGAAGAAAGATCACTGAACTAACAACAAAACCTTATACTTAAAATAAGTTTTCATTATTTTCTATTTCTTGCCTGTTTGAAGAACATATGGTTATCCAGACAGAGGTAAGACTCAGAAAAGAGAAATAACACCATGTGATTGAGGCTGAAAACCACAGAAATAATTCATTATAAATAGACAAAGCAAATAGCGACAACAGTTCATTAGTCATGTGTTCAAATTAGTGAGCTAGTTACAATGGGTGTTTTCTAAAAGATCACGATTAGTTAATGTACAATTTAATAACAAGACAGGATATGGTAAGGGGGGGATGGTGGAGTGCTGTGATCTGTTTCCACTAAACACCACAGGGCAGGGATGTGCTTTGTCTTTGTAATGCAACGCATGCTCCACCACTTTACAAATTAAATACTTCACCCTCATAGAAGAAAACATGCTGCAACAAGAGCCTCAGCTAAGCTAAGAAAATAAATTGTACTGCAGTAGCCTAAGTAAACTGAAGCCAATTACCATCTCTCAG